TTTTTCAGCAATTCATTTGTTTTAGAGAAATGCTTACAGCCAAAGAAACCCCTGTGCACTGACAGGGGTGAAGGGTGAGCTGTCTGTAGGACGTGGTGCCGTTTCTGCAAGAAATCAGAGATGTTAAGACATTGTAGTCATCCCGCCCCACTGAACTGCCACCACATTTGCAGAATCTTAGGTTTTGTACTGCTGTCCCATGGACCAATATCATTTAACAGAAACACTGACCAAACCTGAGCCCATCCTCTAATAATCCCAGTTCTGCAGTCCCAGAATACCCTTTTAAAACAATGTACTCTACTGGGTGCTGCATGAGGCCATAATCCAAGCTCAGGATTAGATTCCATGCTGCATACCACACAGACCAGCTTCCAGCCTTTTCCCCACTGTCCAGACTAGTGTCACTTCCAGAGGAATGGAAAAGCAACGGTGCACTTACCCTGTCAATAGAGCTGCCTTTCCTCTGAGCATAAGCCCCCCAAAGCATGAAGACCACACCATCCAAGTTGCTGTTTAGCCAGGAGACCACTGCGTCTGTGAACTGCTCCCAGCCCTTCTCTTTGTGGGAGTTGGCTTGGTGTGCTCGGACTGTAAGAACAGCATTGAGTAGCAGTACTCCTAGGTTGAAAATGAAACAGGAAAGGGTGAGCAAGCATGCAGAAAACATTAAATAAAAATATGCTGCTTTTGCTGCTAGGAAGGGCAAATGATCAATACTCTGCACACAAAATATGTTTATCCCAGCCAAATTCTGCAACACCAGAAGAGGTCAACCCCCACCTCCCAGCGTATTTGAGGGCATTTTATTGTAGCTTGTGTGTTTAATTTAATGCTAATGGCTGTATAAACTTATAATAAGCAGCTGTTCTGTAAGGGAGCTGCATGTAGCAGCAAAACTATCCACTGTTCTGTAAAGTCTGTACTGTACAGTCATACCTCGTGTTACGTTTGCTTCATGATACGTTTTTTCAGGTTGCGTCCTGCGGCGACCCGGAAATACTGGAAAGGGTTACTTCCGGGTTTTGCCGCTCGCGCATGCGCAGGTGTGCAAAATGACGTCACGCGCATGCGCAGAAGCGGGTTGCGTTCTGCTCATGTTGCGAACGGGGCTCCGGAACGGATCCCGTTCGCAACCAGAGTACCACTGTATTTGAGCTAAGTTTGCTCTTTTCAGCAGGATCTAGCCTCTCTGAAGCAGGAGGAGGCTGGGATTGTGTTGGATGCTCAGGGGCTGTTTCCTTGCTAAAATCTGGGGTGTGCTGAAAGGAATTCTCCATCCACTGCTGCAAGTACTACCACTGGCTGCTGGAAAGAAGCAATCTGTATATCCAGAAGGTGAAACCAACACACATGATAGCAGCTGGGGGAAGCCCACCCACCACAGGGGGGAAAGCGCCCAACAAACTTTGATCCTGCTTCACCTTGTTTAGCCCACCCGGTCAAGTCTCCATGGCCAGGATGAGAAAAGCCTTCTATGTCTTCAGCCAGTTCTTTGTAGATGTTCTCTAGGCTATGATCAAAAATCAGAAAGGCTTTGACAGACTTCCTCTCATGCATTTGTATCATAGGGATTTCATTTATTACATAACAACATATTAGTGATAACTATGCAAATGAAAGACTAATGGAAAGGCAGTATTGCATATCTGGTCCTAATAGGACTACAAAGTTTAAAGCCTAATCTTACCTGGGTGGAGGTGGAACTGGTCTCTGGACGCTGAAACAGAGTCCGTGTGCTTGGTTGGGTCCATGATATGGGTCTTGGCCCAAGATGACAGCTTTTACCTGAACAAAGTTACAAAAGCGGAAATTTGTTCAATACAATCACTCCTGCTGTCATTCATCTCTGCCCAGTTTAATACATCCCTTTGGTAGGACACAGTATGTGGCTGGTTATCCCTTGCTCTTTCTCTCGTGTGTTCCAGAGAAGACCAATGGGACAACTATATAAACACCACAGTTCATGGGCAACCCAGTCAGATGGGGTACAAATAATAAATGATTATAAATTATTATTATGTAGCGTGCTTGATTAAAAGCTCCATGTTCAAATCTCAGAACATGGGTAGTTTTAAGGAAGCCCCACCATTCCATTCCATTCCATTCCACCCCTTTCAGCTTCACCTAGCATTTATCCAATTGGATTAACTAATAGTGGCCTCCCTTTACAGTCAGGACAACTTAGATACAGTTGTGTATGCAAAACATTCTGAGGCCAAAATGCAACTAGCAGCACCAAACATTATTGTTACTAGCCCATGGTTTTCAAAACAATGCAGACACAAAGTGCAACGCTTATCTAGAGGCGGAAAAAAGAGAAGATATCACTGACAACTTAGTGACTCCTGAAGGAAAAGGTAGAATAAATGTAGGGCTGATTGTACCAGGTTTACTCACATCACGGATACTGCACATCTGAGTCCAGGTGAAGACTTGATGCACAGCTGGATACACTGTGTAGCGTTTACGCTCTGCAGCAACAAAGTCCATTAGCTGTTTTGGGAAACAGAAGCAGACAGTTTCAAATCCTGGTTAAGGAGGGCCAGCAGGTTAAGTAGGTAGCGGTTTGAGTGCACACAAGCACCTAGGCATCACACACAATATTGTGTTTCAAGCAGTCATTTTAAAATTTCAACTCAGTTAACGCATTAAGCTTTCTTCTGTCAATACATCCCATTAATGCCCAAGGCTTTAAAGAGAGGCCAGCCAGCCAATTGTTTTTAAAGATGTGAAGAGTTTGCTTCACCCAGACTTGAAATTGGATCCCATGATATAAGCCAGGCGGCTGTGTTTTCAGAAAAGTTGTGATGAACTTTCAAGAGATACAGAAACTTGAGAAACATGCTTGAAAGTGAGGGGAACATTCCAAGGTGGAGCCTCCCATTTCAGGACAAGTGATGACCCTGGAGCCCCTCTCTAATTTTTAGCCACAGCTTCTTGCTTAACATCTATGGACTCCAACGTCAGTTGCAGCAAGATACATGCTCAATAATTAACAAAATACTTCTAGCCACCAGGAGCTTCTTGAGACAGGGTAGATCAAATCTAAATATTTTTGCATCTCTCTCGTATATAAAGGCTGATCAATAATGGTTTTGGAGGAACTGTTAATGCCACTTTGGGCCCGCAAGGTAGACAGGAATAACCACTTAATTATTCTGTAAATACAGTATACACAAGGAGAGTAAGACCACATCCTATGTAAATTTCCATGAGTGCTAGCTCCATGAAATATAGAAGGAACCGCTTCCATGCAAACATACAAAAGACCAGGTTGCAGGACTAGAACCCTACACACACAATTTCACCACTACCCCTCCTCTCCCAAACCTTATACTGTACTCAACAATGTAACTGATCTGTAGAAAAGACTGTACAGCACAACTTGAAAAAAGAGACAAGGTGTTTAAGCCAAGGAAAACTTTAATCATAAATATATAAATAACCCTACACACACTTACTAGGAAGCCCTATTGAACCCAGCGGCACACTTGCGCGAGTAACAAGCATAGAAGTCTGCTACCAAGTACTGAATAAGCTATCGACGTGGCATAAAACAGAAAGGGAAGAAATGCATGTCTGTAAAGGAGGAAAGAGATAGGCACCAAGGCAGGCAAGTGTGCAGATTCTGGTACACTCCATTTAACACAGCACAGCAACAGCAGGTCTGTTTTCGATATAATAAATTAAGGGGGGGGGATCTATTAAAGTGGCCCGGATTGCAGCTCCGTGCGGGAGCACATCCTTTGCTCGCATCAGGTGCGTTGCAATCGACCTTCTCTCCAGTTCAAAGGCCGTCAGGCAGGGCAGATGGGCTGAGACCCTTCTCCGCCTGACATCCCGGGGCGCCGCCGCCGCGTCCCCCTTGCCCTGCCCATGGCAGCCCCCCGCCTCCCTCTCCGCCTCTGGCCCACCTGGGCGAAGTAGGGCTTGGCGAACTCCCCGGCGAGCGCGAGCCTCCAGTCCGGCGCGACCTCCGGAGGAGCGAGGCTGCTGAGGCGGGAAGCGAGTCTCTGCAAGGCCGCCTCTTTGTTCCGGCGGATCCGCTCCAGCTGCTCCGGGCTGAGAGGCGGGGACGGAGCGCCAGCCTTCGACCTCTTCGGAGAGCCGGCCTGCGGGCGGAAGAAGCGCGTGAGGGGCGGCCAAGCGGCAGCAGGAGCGAGGCAGCGGCGGAGCGACGCCAGACCACGGCCCGCCCTCCTCGCCGCCGCCGCCGCCATGAGAAAACAAAACACGGGCGACTTTCGCGCCCAATTGGCCAGCGACACCAAAAGCGCCGTGTATCGGCCTATCACCTGCGAGATAGCGCCCCCTTCCTTTCTCATTGGTTACGGGCCATCAAAACAGCTTCCTAATTGGCCGCCGGTCCCGAGCCCTGCAGCCCGCTCGCCCTATCGCAGTTCTGCTTGAAAGCCCCTGCCCTCAGTTGATCTCTGTTGCTAAGGTAGCCCTAGCAGCTCTTCTTGGTTAAGAGCACCGAGTCGGACTTAGTCCCACCCCCGGACGCTTCCCATTGGCTTGAGGGCGGCTAAAGCGCTTCCCATTGGCCGGTACCTCAGGAAGGCGCCTTTTTCTCCCCCGCTGGAAGGAGAAGGCGCCGGTACCTCAGGAAGGCGCCTTTTTCTCCCCCTGGCGCGAGCTCCCCGTCCCCTCTCGCCTGGCTCCCTTTGTACCTCAGCGGCCCCGACTGGCTCCGGGGAGCGGCTCCGCTTCTTGGCCTGCGCCGCCGAGAAGAACGAGAGCAGCGTCTTCTGGCCGATCATGGTGGCTCCGCTGGCAGACGGGCTCCGGCGCTGCAGCTCGGGAGAGAAGGGCGCCGAGGGAAAGGCAGCAGGCGCAGCAGCCGCTGGCTCAGCTCTTCTACCCCCTCACGGCAAGACCCGCCGCCGCCCGCTCGCTCCCGCTTCAGGTAAGCTTTAAATTGGCGCCAAAGCGAGCGCGCATGCGCAGCCCAGGAGGCCTGGGTCCCGCCCGCCCGCCCGCTCCTTGGGCGCATGCGCAGCGCCTGTTCTCGGAAGGCGGGTCCGCGGCGGCAAACGGAGGCTGGAGGAAATAGCGAGAAGGGTCGTCCTCCTCCTCGCAGCCGGGGCGTGCAGGCCTTCCATTGCACGCTATGTTTGCCGACTTGCGTGATTAACGTGCGCGTTAGGGGGAAAGTATCGTAGGAAGAGAGAGCAGTGTCTCCGCAGATCACCTCAAAGTAGAATCAACCTTACAAACAAAGTGTGATCAAAAATAATATTGGAAACTGCGCCTGTGCTGCTCCTAGGTTATGTTTTGCAATTTTGATTTTACATTCATGAGAAGTTTTTACGATGCTTGGGAAGAACTCGAGATGGAGCGAACAGACTTTGTCTTGTTCTGAAATAACAACACTACCATTTTTCTTTCTAGCAGGCAGGGCTCTCGGTTAGTACCTTTTGCAGGAAGGGAGGAGCTGCAAAGGAGACGAAGGTGGGACCTGGAGACTGGAAAGGAGACGAAGGTGGGACCTGAAACAGGATTCCGGCAGTGAGGCTCCCTGGCCTCGGTTCCAGGAGGAGCCTTGGAGAATATCCTGGGCATTGCAGGAGGTAAGACGGGCATTGGAGGGCAGCCATAGCATAGCATTTTAACCCTAAGGCATGAAAGAGCAGCCTTCCCCTACAATGTATCCCCGGCACCTGATATACAGGGGTACAGTGGTACCCCGCAAGACGAATGCCTCGCAAGACGGAAAACCCGCAAGACGAAAGGGTTTTCTGTTTCGGAGGCGCTTCACAAGACGAATTTCCCTATGGGCTTGCTTCGCAAGACGAAAGCCCATAGGGAAATCTCCGGGGACCTGTTTTAAATTGCTGGCGGTCGGGAGCAAAGACTTTCGCCCACAGCCGGCCTTCAGAAGAGGTCCTGGACCTCTTCTGAAGGCCGGCGGGGGGCAAAAGTCTTTGCTCCCCCCCGCCTGCCTTCCCGGGACAGCGGAGACTTCTCCGCTGCCCCGGGCGATCTTAAAATGCTGGCGGGCGGGAGCGAAGCGTTCGCTGCCGACCCCCAGCATTTTAAAATCTCCCCGGGACAGCAGAGAAGTCCCGCCCCGCTCGGGATGGCGGCGCAGAGCTGTCTGCCGTCCCGGGATCAGCACAGCTCTGCGCGGCCATCGGGAGCCGGGGGCGAAGCCCGCCCCGCTCCAGATGGCCGCGCAAAGCTGCCTGCAGTCGCGGGACTGCAGGCAGATCTGCGCCACCATCCCGAGCGGGGTGCTAAGTCCCGCCCCGCTCGGGATGGCGGCGCAGAGCTGTCTGCCGTCCCGGGATCAGCGCAGCTCTGCGCGGCCATCGGGAGACGGGGCTTAGCCCGCCCCGCTCCAGATGGCCGCGCAAAGCTGCCTGCAGTCCCGGGACTGCAGGCACATCTGCGCCGCCATCCCAAGCGGGGCGCTAAGTCCCGCCCCGCTCTGGATGCCAGCGCAGAGCTGTCTGCCGTCCCGGGACTGCAGGCAGATCTGTGCCGCCATCCCGAGCGGGGCGCTAAGTCCCGCCCCGCTCTGGATGCCAGCGCAGAGCTGTCTGCCGTCCCGGGACTGCAGGCAGATCTGTGCCATCCCGAGCGGGGCGCTAAGTCCCGCCCCGCTCTGGATGCCAGCGCAGAGCTGTCTGCCGTCCCGGGACTGCAGGCAGATGTGTGCCGCCATCCCGAGCGGGGCGCTAAGTCCCGCCCCGCTCTGGATGGCGGTGCAGATCTGCCTGCCGTCCCGGGATCAGCGAAGCGTTCGCTGCCGACCCCCAGCATTTTAAAATCTCCCCGTGTCCCGGTGAGATTTTAAAATGCTGGGGGTCGGCAGCGAAGCCCTTGTTCCCCCCCAGCCCCCCCCAGCCTTCAGAAGCCCTTGTTCCCCCCCCCCAGCCTTCAGAAGAGGTCGGGGGAGAGACTGTCCCCGGACCTGGTCTGAAGGCGGTTTCCCTTGGAACGCATTAATTGATTTTCAATGCATTCCTATGGGAAACCGTGCATCGCAAGACGAAAAACTCGCAAGAAGAAAAAACTTGCGGAACGAATTAATTTCGTCTTGCGAGGCACCACTGTACATTGCTTCTGAACTTGGAGGTTCCATTTTGCCAGCCTCCATAATTACAGGTGTCCAAGCCAGTGTTCCCCAGCCAGGTGCCAGCAGATGTTGTTGGACTGTGACCCCCGTTATCCCTGACTGTTGGTCATGCAAGCTAGAATTGATGGGAATTGGAATACAGCACCATCCAGCAGGCCAAAGGCTCCCCATCCCTTGGCTAAAGAGATCCTTTGCAGACACCACAAATAATAGTTTCCAGCTGCTGCAAGTATATTAGTAAAAAGAGCACTCCACAGCCAGGAGCGCCCCACTCCAGGCATATCTAATCTGGTTCTGGTCAATCACAGGCTTGCCCTCCTACAGCCTCGATTGAGGTGCGTAGCAACTGGCGATGGAGAAATTCATTGTCCGGGGGCCTCTTAAGACCACAGCAACAAAGAACAAGAGGAAGTCCCCTGGACCAGAGCGGGAGGAGGCTGACTCTGGTGCAGAAGGCAGTGGAAGAAGCAAGAAGAGGCCCAAGTTGGATGCATCCCACCAAAGCAAGACTCCCTTGGTTGGTGCTTCATGGAAACACATCCGGGCAGAAGGGCTAAACTGCGATTATAGGATCCTTTTCAACAAAGCAGAGGCTGACAGGATCTTCCAGGAGCTTGAAAAGGAAGTGGAATATTTTGAAGGTAAACAGATCTGATCTTTGAATCTTTCATGAATTCTCTGTGCAGCAAGGGCTATCTGGAGCATACTATAAATAGATTTCCTCATTTTTATGGCTATTATTATTTATTAAACTTATATACCACCCTTCACCTGAAGATCTCTGGGCAGTTCACAAGATAAAGATACAAGATAAAAGCACAAAATAAAAAGTCAAAAACGAAACAATAACCCCCTCCAACAACACGTTTAAAAGGCTGTAGAATCTTAATTAGCCTGGCTGAAGAGGAATGTTTTTGCCTGGTGCCTAAAAATATATAATGAAGGCACCATGCAAACCTTCCTGGGGAGAGCATTCCACAAACAGCCATTACGTAGCTATTGTGGTCCTGAGCTGTTTAAGGCTTTATAGGTCAAAACCAGCACTTTGAATTGGACCCGGAAACTAACTGGCAGTCAGGCCAGGATCAGTGTGAACGCTCAAACCGTCTTGCCCCAGTGACCAACCTGACTGTCAAATTCTGCACCAGCTGAAGCTTCCAAACCGTCTTCAGGGGCATTAATGATAATAATAGCCAGGCTGAGAAGCCATTTCTCACTGAATGGCCATTGGGCAGGGGGCTGCAGTGAAGAGGGTTGTTTAATGGGGAAGGGCCATAGCTCAGTTGTAGAGCACCTGCTTTGCATGCAGAACATACCAGGTTAAATTTGCAGAGTTACATGTCTCTGTGTGAAACATTCTTCTCTCCCCACACCCTTCTCTTCCTCTGGGCTCTCCCAACTCACGGCAAGAGGTTTTCTCCTCTACATCTGTCTCTCCTGCTTTCCCTTTCTCCTTTCCACACAAACACACATGGCATGGAAGGAAAAGCAATTTCTAGAGGGGTGGTGATGCAGGAAGCAGAGCTCAACCGCAGTGTCCAGAGGGCCCCATGAATTGAATCGGGGGGCCACCACAGGTTCCCCACCACTGCTCTCAGGGGAATTTTTTACTTGGTGGCATTTCTTCCCTGTATCTGGTTATGAAAGCCCATCTTGAGTTTGTCATCTTTTTTTCAAAGCAGGAGAGTTCACTAAACTCCACATATTTGGAAAGTGGCACAACATCCCAAGGAAACAAGTGACCTACGGGGATGCTGGCTTGACGTACACATACTCAGGTGTCACTTTCTCACCCAAGCCATGGATTCCAGTTCTGGGTCACATAAGAGACCAAATCCAGCTAACCACCGGGGACACCTTCAATTTTGTTCTCATTAACAGGTAACGTTGGGCAGGTGGTGGTCGTTAGTATGGCATTGAGCACCAGGGAACCAGTTCTCCATGCCCAGTCCCTTACCCTTACACTAACTTGTGACTGCTGTTGTGACATACAGAGGGCAGTGCAGGAGGAGCTTGACATCCTACTGCAATTCTACAGGAGCTGCCCTTGACTACGTTTGCCAACTGCTGCTCTCCAGATGTTTTTGGACTACAATTCCCACCAGCCACTGCCAGCAGAGTTACATGATACTGAGTTTATGGGAACAAAAGGACATGCATTTTTGCATTTAACATTTACATTCAAATATCAGTCATAATCATAAAAAAATAGGATTCTCTGAGTCCTTGGGCTTCCTGCCACCCTTCCATGGGTTCCATTATTAATCTTTTCCCACCTGCATCCTATAAAGTTCTCTATTTATCTTTAATATTCAATTTATACCATTGTTCATGTTACATCGGAAAACAACAGCTGGGCAGAGCTGAGTGGGGAACAGCTAGGAGAAGGGGGAGAGAGAGAGAGAGAGAGAGAGAGAGAGAACGGACTCCCCTTTGCTGCAGAGTGTCCAGTTTTTATCTCCAAGGGCAAGGAGAGCTGATAAGGTTGCTATGCAGAAGGCTCAATGGTTGTGAGATGCCGGGGTGGGGGGAGTAGGAGGGAAGCTTAATTGGGAGCACCTTTATCTCGGGAATGGATGCTTTGTTCTTCTCCTGTGATCATTAAAGACCCTTTAAATGGTAAGGGACTCTTGTCGCTTTGTCCTGCTTATCCGCAAAGGGGGGGGGGGGAGCCAAGCCCCCAGAGCCTGACAACAATCTTTTCTGCTTCCTTGGTATTTTTGTACCTAAAATTCCTTGGAAAAAAACCTTCTAGTTTTTTCACAAATGTTATTTTAAACATTTTTTTCAACTCATTATAAATTATTTTCCAATGCTTTTGCTATCTTACACATCCACCACATATAGTAGAAGGTGCCTTCTTTCTCTTTACGCTTCCAACAAATATTTGTAGTAGTTCTATACATTTTGTTAATTTAGTAGGAGTTTAATACCAACAGTACATCATTTTCATAGAGTTTTCCTTCAATGTACAGCATGCTGTACATTTTAAGTCTTCCCTCCATAATTTTCCCCATGATGACAATTGTATATTATATCCAATATCCCTTGCCCATTGTATCAATACAGATTTAACAGTATACATTTTAGAAAGTATTTTCACTTTATTTTCCAACAAGTCTTTTTCAAACCTTAAAAATTCTTTACTAAAACCATTTATTTTATCCATTCTAAATGCATCTTTTAATTGGTGATACTGTAACCAGTCAGTTAATAAGTCTTATATCCTCAAATTTCTCATTTTCAATTGTTCTTCTTTTGTTAACAGCTCTTTATACGTTGCCTATTCATTTTTTGCATTTAATTTTTCCACAGATTTCACCTCTAGCAGGGAAAGCCACCAAGGTGTTTTTTGGTCTAATAAATATTTATATTTCTCCCATACTACATAAATTGATTTTCTTACCAAATGGTTTAGGAAACCTTTATGCACTTTTGTCTTATCATACCAGAGATATGCATGCCACCCAAATCTGTTGTCATGACCTTCTAAATCTAGAATGCCTGCATTTTTTAACATTATCCACTCCCAAAGCCAGCAGAGACAGGACGCTTCATAATATAACCTCAAGTCCGGAAAAACCGCCTCTATCCTTTGCATCAGTTAACAATTTATATTTAATCCTTGGCTTCTTTCCTTGCCAGATAAATTTAGAAGTAACTTTTTGCCACTGCTTGAAGTGTCCTGCTCTACTGATAACGGGTACTGATTGAAATAAAAATAGCATTCTTGGCAATACATTCATTTTTATTACTGATATTCTTCCCCATAGTGATAAGCTCATCCTTCCCCATACCTTTAGGTTTTTCTTTTTTTCTTTCCAAGTGGCTATATAGTTGTCAACCATACCTCTAAATATTTCACCTTTTTTCTATTGTCAATTCTGTTGTTCGATGTAAGTCTTTTTTATTGAACGGTCACATTTTTTACCAATACTTTCATTTTATTTTTATTCAACTTGAAAGCTGCTACCTGACCAAATTCAGCAATTATCTCTAAGACCCTTGATATACTTACCATCGGGTCTTCTACTGTTATCACAAGGCCATCTGCAAATGCTTTCAATTTATAAGCTCTGCACCCTACTGTTATACCTTTTATTCTATCATGCCAGGGTTTCTAGAATTGATATAAACAATAATGGTGACAGGAAACATCCCCTTCTTGTCCCTTTTGTTATATTTTTCCGTTATCACATTGTTCACTATCAACATAGCCTGTTGATCTGAATAAGTCGCGTCAATTCTCCAAAGGAATGACTCTCCAAAGTTCATCATTTCTATAGTTTTTTCCCATAAAAATCCATGACACATTATCAAAGGCCTTCTCTGCATCTGCAGACATTAAAGCCGCTTGCTTTTCATTCATCTGGCGGCCAGGAAGAAAGCCAGCTTGATCTTGATGAATTACCGTATTTTTCGGACTATTGGACGCACCGGTCCATAGGACGCACCTAGATTTGGGGGGGAAATAAAGGCAAAAAAAATTTATTCCCCCCCCCCCCGCCAGGGGCGGGGCTGGGGCGGGGAAGCCCGAGCTTCCCCCTCCCCAGAACGGGACCCAGAGCCATGCCGAAGCTGCGCGCAGCTTTGGCATCGCTCTGGGAGCTTGCGGGGCTGGGGGAGGAGGAAGCCTTCCGCCAGCCTCCAAACCATGTCGGGAGACAGCGGGATGGCGCGCTGCGCCTCTCCCGCTGTCCCCTGAGTTTGCGGGGCTGGGCCAGCCTTCTAACCAAGTCGGGGGACAGCGGGAAAGGTGCGCTGCGCCTCTCCCGCTGTCCCCCGAGTTTGCGGGGCTGGCGACGGGGAGGAGCAGGCTTCTCCCCCCGCCAGCCTTCTAGACAAGTCGGGGGACAGCGGCAAAGGCGCGGTGCGCCTCTCCCGCTGTCCCCCGAGTTTGCGGGGCTGGCGACGGGGAGGAGCAGGCTTCTCCCCCCGCCAGCCTTCTAGCCAAGTCGGGGGACAGCGGGAAAGGCGCGCTGCGCCTCTCCCGCTGTCCCCCGAGTTTGCGGGGCTGGCAACGGGGAGGAGCAGGCTTCTCCCCCCGCCAGCCTTCTAGCCAAGTCGGGGGACAGCGGGAAAGGCGCGCTGCGCCTCTCCCGCTGTCCCCCGAGTTTGCGGGGCTGGCGACGGGGAGGAGCAGGCTTCTCCCCCCGCCAGCCTTCTAGCCAAGTCGGGGGTCAGCGGGAAAGGCGCGCTGCGCCTCTCCCGCTGTCCCCCGAGCTTGTGGGGCTCTCTTGAAGCCTGGAGGTTGTGGGGCTGGTGGGGGGGAGAAGCAGGCTTGCTTCTCCCGCCCCCAGCCTCCAGTTCAGGTCGGGGAATAGCGGGATGGCGGAGCGCCGCCATCCCGCTATTCCACGACCTGATCTGGAGGTTGTGGGGCTGGGGGGGGGAGAAGCAGGCTTGCTTCTCCCACCCCCAGCCTCCAGATCAGGTCGGGGAATAGCGGGATGGCGGAGCGCCGCCATCCCGCTATTCCACGACCTGATCTGGAGGTTGTGGGGCTGAGGGGGGGGGGAGAAGCAGGCTTGCTTCTCCCGCCCCCAGCCTCCAGTTCAGGTCGGGGAATAGCGGGATGGCGGAGCGCCGCCATCCCGCTATTCCACGACCTGATCTGGAGGTTGTGGGGCTGGGGGGGGGGAGAAGCAGGCTTGCTTCTCCCGCCCCCAGCCTCCAGATCAGGTCGGGGAATAGCGGGATGGCGGAGCGCCGCCATCCCGCTATTCCACGACCTGATCTGGAGGTTGTGGGGCTGGGGGGGGGGAGAAGCAGGCTTGCTTCTCCCACCCCCAGCCTCCAGATCAGGTCGGGGAATAGCGGGATGGCGGAGCGCCGCCATCCCGCTATTCCCCGACCTGATCTGGAGGTTGTGGGGATGGTGGGGGGGAGAAGCAGGCTTGCTTCTCCCACCCCCAGCCTCCAGATCAGGTCGGGGAATAGCGGGATGGCGGAGCGCTGCCATCCCGCTGTTCCCCGACCTGATCTGGAGGTTGTGGGGATGGTGGGGGGGGGGGGAGAAGCAGGCTTGCTTCTCCCACCCCCAGCCTCCAGATCAGGTCGGGGAATAGCGGGATGGCGGCGCTTCGCCATCCCCCTATCCCCCAAGCTTGTGGGGCTGGGGGGGGGGGAGAAGCAGGCTTGCTTCTCCCCCCGCCAGCCTCCAGATCAGGTCGGGGAATAGCGGGGTGGCGGCTCTGCGCCTCCCCGCTGTCCCCAGCTTTTGGGTGCAGGCTGCTGCCCGCAAGCCTTGCGAGCCCGCGGGACATCCCGCCGGGCTTGCAAGACTTGGGATAGCTTCCTGAAGCCTGGAGAGCGAGAGGGGTCGGTGCGCACGGACCCCTCTCGCTCTCCAGGCTTCAGCAAAAGCCTGCATTCGCACCATAGGACGCACACACATTTCCCCTTCATTTTTGGAGGGGAAAAAGTGCGTCCTATAGTGCGAAAAATACGGTAAATCTTTTAACACCATCTTCATATGATTTGCCATTATTGGCAAATAGTTTATAACCATTATTTAGCAGAGATACCTGCCTATAATTTTTTACTGATAGTAAATTTGTATCTTGTTTTGGAATTAATGTAATATATGCCTCTTTCCAAGAATCTGATACTTTCCCTGTATTCAAAATCTTACTCATTACATCTTTCAAAGGCTGTGCCAAAAGCTCTTATAGTTTTTATAGTACTTCGCTGATAGACCGTCTGACCCCGGCAATTTACCTGTTTTTATCTGGTTAATTAACTGTTGTAATTCCATCACTGTTACTGGTGCATTTAAGTAATTAGTTTTCTCTTCCGAAATACTTAGCGGCCAATAGCCAGTCTAGTCCACCATCCTGTTCTTGCAGTGGCCAAAAAGATGCCTGTAGGAAATCCATATGGTATAGTACAGATTAAGTTGGAAAGGAGGAGAGAAGTCTAGTCGCTGCCCCCTGAACAGAAGGAGCAGGAGACCAGCACCCCAAACACAGCAGCAGGGCTGGCTTACTGCATTCCGAAGCAAGTGAAATCATGCACATCACTATCTAAAGAGTATAGACCTCCACTCTGCAAGTGCATTTGAGTCCATAGTCTAAAACTACCTCACTGCATCACTCATCTCCCCTCCCTGCCAGGTATAAGGACGGTCACGATCACATGGGGGAGCACAGAGATGATGAGCGAGAGCTGGCCCCTCGCAGCCCCATCGCATCCGTGTCCTTTGGAGCCTGCAGGGACTTTGTCTTCCGGCACAAGGATTCCCGAGGCAAAAACCCCTCGCGCTACATTGAGGCTGTCAAGTTGCAGCTGGAGCATGGGAGCTTGCTGATGATGAACTTCCCCACCAACCGTTACTGGTACCACAGCCTGCCCAGTCGCAAGAAACTCCTGGCTCCGAGAATCAACCTGACATTTCGAAATGTGATGGCGCTGACCCCAGGGCAGTGAGAGCGGGAGAGATGGCTCACTGACTTCCTTCCACACAGTGTTCGTTTGTCTCAAGAGTTTGGCCCTCTAGTTTCTTTGTAGGCATGAATAGAGAGTGTTTCCAAGAGTGTTTTTTTGTTCCTTTTAGTGCCTTTGTGGTAAAAATAAAAAGGCATTTGGGGTCAAATACTTGGCTGATCATTGGATTTCAGATGTTAGTATGGCCATGGTTCATATGGTGAATGTCCAGGTGGAGTGGGGTGGGGGGGCTATGCTTGCTTTGTAAAATGCAGGGGGCTTGAGGATTTCCTAGGCGCTTTTGGCGTAAGTGGCTACAGGAAAGGGAGTGACCAGCAGGATGGCCAGTAGCCCATGATCATTAGGCAAAAGCTGCTTCTATAATCTTCTCTGAAACAAAGCAGTAATGAAAGGTAAACCTCCCCCGCCACCCTGATGTATATTTCCTTTGTAATACAGGGCTGGGGAGCCTGACCATAGGCCCTTCTGGTTGGTAGATCCAGGTCCCACCACACCTGGAGGGCCACAGGTTCCCCCAGCCTTGTATCACCAGAGCAACTCTCTTAAAATATTAATTGGATTTTATAGCTTTACAAAAGTAAAAAATGAAGACAGTAAGACAAAAAAGCCATCCTGTATTCCCCACCCTCCCACTTCCCTAGTCCTCACCCAGAGCTATTCTTGAGTTTATAGAAACTGGCATGCAAATAACCAGTGAGTCTTGGTCCCTTGGAACCTACTCAGAGTTCAGTTTGCTTAGTAGTTATTGTAGATAGGTATTAACAGTAAAAGTAAAGGGAACCCTGACCATTAGGTCCAGTCGTGGCCGACTCTGGGGTTGCGGCGCTCATCTCGCTTTATTGGCTGAGGGAGCCGGCGTACAGCTTCCAGGTCATGTGGCCAGCATGACTAAGCTGCTTCTGGCGAACCAGAGCAGCGCACAGAAATGCCGTTTACCTTCCCGCCGGAGCGGTACCTATTTATCTACTTGCTCTTTTACGTGCTTTTGAACTGCTAGGTTGGCAGGAGCAGGGACCGAGCAACGGGAGCTCACCCTGTCGCGGCGATTCGAACCGCCAACCTTCTGAACAGCAAGTCCTAGGCTCTGTGGTTTAACCCGCAGCGCCACCCGCGTCCCCTGTAGATGACAGTTAATCAGTTTTCTTGCTCCTATTGGGCTAAAAGTCTTAAGTCTTTAACTGAGGGATTCTTTGGATCTTTCCTTCTGTAGGACCATCCATTTATTTAGTATTTTCCAGACCATAAGGGAGCCAGTCCCCGGCCTCCTAAAAAGCAACCCCGGAAAGAAGCAAGTGGGTGATCAAGGAAGGAGGAGGAGAGGGGTGTTGCAAGAGGCAGTACCAGGCAAGGAGGGCGAAATCTTGCAGATCAATGGCTTTGTTATAGAATATCTCAAGACAGGGAGTTCTGTTCATCATCCACCTGACCTAGGAACAAAGGCTACAAAGGTCAGGTCCTCTTCTAATATTATTTCTGGTATGACTCCAAAAGCATAAGGGCTGTAGGTGGTGCTATATCTACTTACAGTAGTCCCATTTAAGTTAAAGCTCATGACTAATGGACATTGATTTCCATGGGTCTCCTCTGAGTAGGACATAGTTGGCTGAGGGAGCCAGCGTACAGCTTCCAGGTCATGGGGCCAGCATCACTAAGCTGCTTCTGGCGAACCAGAGCAGTGCATGGAAACACCGTTTACCTTCCCGCCGGAGCGGTACCTATTGATCTACTTGCACTTTGATGTGCTTTCGAACTGCTAGGTTGGCAGGAGCAGGGACCAAGCAATGGGAGCTCACTCCGTCACGGGGATTTGAACTGCCGACCTTCTGATCGTAGCTGGTGCTACATCTACTTACAGTCCCATTTAAGTTAAAGCTCATGACTAATGGACATTGATTTCCATGGACAGCTACAACCCATAGTGCTGTACAGCAAGATAAAGGCAAAAGTGGCATCTTAGCTTCAGGCTTACACTCCAGTGATACTGGATAGAGCAGCCTTCCTGGTTCTTTTGGTTGTTAAGGACCCAGTTATGGAAACAGCCATGGCAGATGACCACAGGCGGGAAAGAAATAGCTCGTTTCCTGCCTGTTACAAAGGTTAATGGAAATATGGTACATGCCACCATAACCAACCCACTCTGGGGAGCCCTTGGGGCAATTTCTGAGCCTCAGAAAAGGGGAGAGGGGTGTGGGTGACTCCTGGATACCTAGTCCTATATTTACTGACTTTGCAAGTCATGAAATAGCCATAGGAAGCTAAGGCTGGGCCCATGACCTCTCAGGGCTGTGCGGCAGAAGTTCACTCTGGCAGCACAAAGCAGAAGTTCACTCTGGCAGCCAAAAGGCAAAAGTTAAAATATGCAGCTCCTTGAAAAGCAGACTGGTAGATTTTCTGCCACATGGTATTGAAATGAGTAGTAAATCCAAGATCCTATTGTGACTAATTGCTGCTGCCCATGAGAGTCATTGTGCTTGTAAACTACAGCACTTTGAAGGGGAAAGAATAATTGCCACAAATCGTAGCCTGAGAGTTTCTGGCAGACTGTGCTTCCACTACAGGTGCTAAGGCCAGGGATGCAGAGTAGCATAAGGGCAGAGAAGAACCACCACCGCAGTTGTCAACACTGGGGTGTTCTCTTTAGGGTGCGTGACACACTTGTGTTTATTAGTACCAAGCCAGGGTCCTTTTAACTAGTTTTATGCAGCAACAAGACCAGTTCACATAGACGTGAACAGGTTTTCACTTATACCAACACAAAACTGTTTAAGCAAAAACAGCAGTCTACATTTGGCAGAAACAGGTTTATTCTGTACAAAAGTTTGAAGACTTCAAATCAAGACACAGAGGAGGGTTTTTCCTGGGATGGTGCTAGAACCACCCAGAAACAGGAAAAGCTGTTGCATTCCTTGCCAAGCTGGACTCTCAAGAGAAAATGTGACATAATTATCAGCTCATTGCATCATCGTTTTGACAATGTCATTAAAACATCACTGAAGGCAGAAAGAAGCTGGACACTTTCTGCTTTTCTCTTGCACACGCATACTTGAGGCTGCCACGTGAAGAGTCAGCAGTAGATTCCCAGCTACACAGCCAAGTCACGCATTCTCACACCACCGCCTGCTCCCCCTTGGGAATTTTAGGTAAGCAGCCACGTGGTAAGTCCCCCGTCCCCCCGCTTGACACAGCCAGTTCTGTCTGGATTCAAGATACGATCAAGGCACTTGTAGGTTCTCTTCTTCACTAGGACAAGTTTTTTGCAACTGCTCATCTGACTGATTAGCGCAAAGAAATGCCCTCACAACACAGGAAGTGGGATGCTAGAAGGTCTTTAAGTCTGCTGAGAAGATTATTAACACTTAAAACACACTTTTCTAACACTGCTGTGCATGGCCACAGGGGGTGAGGGGAGGGCACAATGTTTTGATACCAAGTGCTTGTTCCTGCCACGCAAACACAGACCACAGACCAGGAGTTTATAGGTAGGGGGAGACGTTTGCATGGCAAGACAGAGGGTGTGCCATTGTCCTCAGAAAAGCACACCAGCTGGATCTGCATTCATTTCACTCCTCAGCTCGATGCTCCTGGCTTTGGCGCTGCCGTCTAGAGTGGACACGTTCGTAAAAAAGTAAATAGGCGCTGGACGAAAGGACTTCCTGCAACGTGGTCTTGTGCACCACATCATCTGAAATCCACAACCACTGGTTGCTGGTGGCTAGCATGCTTTTGCAAGTCGGTGGAGATCGGCGATACGTGACAAAGTGTCCTGAGTGCATGTCCCCATGGTGGACCACAACGGCCATCAGGCGGTACAGATATGATGGAGAACTGCCAAATGAAGGAAAAACACAGGAAGGCTGGTTTAGTCCAAGGCAGCAATGGTGCCCTTTGTATTGCCATGAGCAAGAGCATTCTACGGAATGGACTACTAGGGGATCCAGCCTTGTTAAGCAACAACGGCTCCATTTGCAAATTGCTTTCCATGCTCCTGTAGCAGCATCCAGACTTGAGGTAAACCAAGCGGGCAAACGTATGCTGGGCCTGAATAGGTCAGGATTTCACTGCACTTTTGATACGGGAGACCCAGACAGCCAACAGAAAATATCAGTGGCATGATGGAACATTAGAACGACTCTGGAGATTTACTGGTCACTCCGGGAAAAGTTAGAAGTAGTTTCAAATGTTCTTACTTACCTACAGTCAGGTGCTGTCATGTACGGGAAAGCTACTGGGGATGTAAGGAAGGATGGAGAGCAGGTACCATTCATAAAAGAGGATTTGTTGTTGCCCGCCTGTTCCACATCTACGAAAAGACCCCAAAATCATAGTGCATCGTTGTTATTATTAAAACTGGTTGCTTGCTTATTACAGAAGGGGATGCTCCTGTGCCTGGTTTGTACGGTGTCCTTTATTTAAAACTCTGAAAGTTGGTTTGTAAACAGCTACATGGCTGCTTTCCTATGGCGACCAAGAATTGCCTCCAGGCAACTAGGCAGGGAAACTGATCCTTCTGTGGGGGTACAAACTGCTTTTCTGGACTGAGCTGCAAGGCGACTTTAAACCAGGGGTGGCAACCCTTTAGCCAGAGGGCCACATTCCCTTCTGCTTGCTAGCAATGTGGAGAGCAGATGGCAAAGGGAGTGCAGCAGCAGATGTTCCTTTACCTTTGCACAGCTGGCTCCATTCCAGCCATGGAAAAGTTAGGTTTCTACACATAGCCCTCTCTGTCCAGGCAAGATCACATTCCCTCCAGACACAGAGCAGGGCCAGAAATGGGCCCCACACAAGCCCTCTTAGTTCTAGCTGGAAGAGAATCTTGTCCACACATCTTTCCCAGGCAAGCCACATGGAGGTGGACATTAAACCTTTTCATATCTGAGACTGGCATAAAGCTAGGTCTGGCTGGCCAGCCCAGTTGTCAATTCCAATATAAATACACACGTACGCCTTGACCTGCCCCATAGCTGAGGTTAGATGCCACATCTGGTGGAGGGCAGATGGGTGCAGCCTTGTTGACGTGGTCCTATGTATAGGAAGAGCCTGCTGGATCAGGCCAGTGGCCCATCTAGCCCAGCACCCTCTTCTCACAGTGGATGACCTCCCTCAGCAGAGGTTGGATGGCCATCTGCAGGGGGTTGGACTAGATGACCCTCAGGGTCTCTTCCAATTCTATGATAAGGAGCCCAGGGTGGGCCAATCATATTGACCCACAGTCTTCCACAGTCTTTCACCTCTTAGCTTCTGGAATGAACTGGCTTAGCACAAGGAATAACTCCCCTGCTGGCTCTCTCCCTTCCAAGTCCTCATTCACTTTGCTTGCCTACCGGCTTTTGGGTCCGCTGATGCCTGTGGGCTGCCTGCAGGGTTGGGTTTCTGGGCAGGGAAGCGGTGCTTGTAGACATCCATGATGAGGAACTCGCCAAATTGCACATGCTCGTTTCGTTTCAGGGGCATGCCATGGTTGGACCAGCTCAGCCTTTGTAGGTGGATACAGAGACACTGAGGTAGCTGTGGAGCAAAATGTAAGAAAGGGGTGGGAAGGTGGCTGTCCTAGTTCCAAGATGCGTGGTGGACGCCATAGAGGCCAAGGGTTTCCAGCACAGAAGCCACAGAAGGCTTGATTGTTGCCTTCGTCAACCTTGTGCTCTCTAGATGCTTTGGACTACAACTGCCAAATCTTCTGCCTCCTTAGTTTCCGGAATACATGAACTACCCCATTTTCTGCACAACTATCTTGCATGGTAGGCCGCCATAGCTGCATAGGGGTTTGAAGCAAGGTCTTCCCACCCAATGAAACACCAACCATGCCAAACTGAATCACTCTTTAAAAGCTTTATTCAAAATCCACCAGTATTTCTAATTTTCCAGACATGGAATGAATGGTGTGCAAGTCGATGTATGTGCACACGTGGAATCAGAAATTAGGAGTCTAAGCACCACAAGCAGAAAGTTGGTTTTCGCACAAAGCCCAAAGGCAGGTTATGTTCCTCTGGCTATCCATCGCTTCTCACACAGGTGGGGAGGCCCACAGAAACCACTGCTACGCACTACAGATGTGTTTGAAAAACAAATAATTCTATAGGTTTCCAAAACCACCAAACTTAAGACTAGTTGTTTAGTTCTTCAACTAGTAGCCCATATTAATACATACAAATATAAGCATTGCCGAAGCATTTAAGATTACAGTGGTACCTCAGGTTACATACGCTTCAGGTTACAGACTCCACTAACCCAGAAATATTACCTCGGGTTAAGAACTTTGCTTCAGGATGAGAACAGAAATCATGCTCCGGCGGCGCAGCAGCAGCGGGAGGCCCCATTAGCTAAAGTGGTACTTCAGGTTAAGAACAGTTTCAGGTTAAGAACAGACCTCCGGCACGAATTAGGTACTTAACCCGAGGTACCACTGTACATTTATTTATCTGCTGGATCTCTCAGTGGCCTTTGATACCATCGACCATAACATCCTTCTGGACCGTCTGGAGGGGCTGGGAGCTGGAGGCACTGTTATACAGTGGTTCCACTCCTTCATGCTGGGCCGTGTCCAGAAAGTGGTGTTGGGGGATGAGTGTTCAGACCCCTGGGCTCTCACTTGTGGGGTGCCTCAGTGTTCCACCCTATCCCCCATGCTTTTTAACATCTATATGAAGCTGCTGGGAGAGATCATCAGGGGGTTTGGGCTGGGTGTTCATCAGTATGGAGATGATACCCAGCTCTACCTCTCTTTCAAATCGGAACTAGTGAAGGTGGTGAAGGTCCTGTGTGAGTGCCTGGAGGCGGTTGGAGGATGGGTGGCAGCTAACAGATTGAGGTTGAATCCTGACAAGACAGAAGTACTGTTTTGGGGGGAACAGGAGGTGGGCAGGTGTGGGGGACTCCCTGGTCTTGTATGGGGTAACTGTGCCCCTGAAGGACCAGGTGCACAGCCTGGGAGTCATTGGAGGTGCAGGTCAATTCTGTGTCCAGGGCAGCTGTCTACCAGCTCCATCTGATATGCAGGCTGAGACCCTCCCTGCCCGCTAACTATCTTGCCAAAGTGGTGCATGCTCTAGTTATCTCCCGTTTGGACTACTGCAATGCACTCTATGTGGGGCTACCTTTGAAGGTGGCTCGGAAACTACAGCTAATCCAGAATGTGGCAGCTAGACTGGTGACTGGGAGTAGCCGCCAAGACCATATAAAACCAGTCCTGAGAGACCTGCATCGGCTCCCAGTATGTTTCCGAGCACAGTTCAAAGTGTTGGTGCTGACCTTTAAAGCCCTGAACAGCCTCGGTCCTGTATACCTGAAGGAGTGTCCCCACCCCTATCGTTCAGCCCGGACACGGAGGTCTAGCTCTGAGGGCCTTCTGGAAGTTCCTTCACTGCAAGATGTGAGGTTACAGGGAACCAGCCAGAGGGCCTTCTCGGTGGTGGCCCCTGCCCTGTGGAACGCCCTCCCATCAGATGTCAAGGAAATAAGCAACTATCCTACTTTTAAAAGACATTTGAAGGCAGTCCTGTTTAGGGATGTTTTTAATGTTTAATGCTGTATTGTGTTTTTTATATTTGATTGGGAGCCGCCCAGAGTGGCTGGAGATACCCAGCCAGATGGGCGGGGTATCAATAATAAATTATTATTATTATATATTATTATTTTATAATGATTTGAAATTCAAACTTGAACTGACTTGGTAAGTTGAGAATCTTATTTGGTAAACAAAGAAAGGGGGGAACATTTTATTTCTTTTCTTTTTCCCTCTTATATTTTAAAAGGCAAGCTGCATAAAGTGTGATATTGCAGCCGGCTGAATTTATTGACAGCATTTTGCTAATTTGGTGTAGTTTACATACATTATTTTGATTCTTGGTAAAGAAGACAGAAGTGCCTGGCGTGCTCTGGTCCATGGAGTCACGAAGAGTCAGACACGACTAAACAACAACAAAGAAAATAAGAAACTGCTCTTATGGTGATCTTGGAAACTCCATGCTAAGACGGTTTTCTTACCTTCCCCAGTTTTAGCTGTTTGACAAATGTTGTTCTCTGGTTCTCCATGATATGCCCAGTCCTTTCTTTGGCCTGAATCTGGGGTGGGTGGGTGGGTGGGTGGAGGAAGCCAAAATGAATTATAAACCAACCACGTATGGTACAGGCACAGACCACTCTGAGAAATCTATAGTATGATCACATTTTACCTGTAATTAACTTGCACAATTTCAACCTTGTGCAGTTGAAAGCTGGCCAGCTGAAGTTGCGCAAATAAATTGCACACAAGGCAGAGAGCTTAAAAGGCCCTTTGTGCTGGGTTTTCCCAGCTCATCAAGAGCTTTGAAGCTCTCTGCCTTGCTTATCAGGGCAAGTCCTGCTCAGTGTGCAGGCTCTGGGTGCTCTTGCAACATCTCATGGGGCTGCCCAAGTTTTTGCAAGCTCTCGCAAGAGCATCGTAGAGCCCAGGTTCTGTTTGGGGGTGGGTGGGAGTCCTGCCTGGTGCACCAGCTCCATAAGATAAGGATGGTTGCACAGGGGAGGTTTGAGTATACATGTTTTGGCATACATGCACCATCCCTGTGCAAGATGCGACCATACTGTACTACTTATTAAATGTACTACATTTGATGTATCCAGGTATAGCAATCCTGAAGCAGATGGCATAATTCACAAGCACTGTAAATTTTGCATTTTAAGCTTTACTCGGAGGTGGGGGAGAATCCTTTAAGCTGGTCTTTCGAACCATGGGCAGCTTACCCACATCGAAAAACCAGGATGGTGCCTAGAGTAAGACCATGGAAGGGTTGTCAGCCATTCTAAGAGCCGCAGGTGGGTCATAGTTCCTGCAACAGAAAAGGCTCCCCACAAAAACCATGAATGGGGCGCAGCATCTTTTGCAACTTCAAGATCCACAACATCAGCCAGAAACACAAAAAACCCAACCACCCTGTTTCTAAGCCCACAAGAGGACCAGGAAGAGAATGGAGTACCTAGGAAATAAAAGCATCTTTCAGATGTATCAAGGGGCAATTAATCTGCACCAAATGCACCAGGGGAGGGGGTCACTGCAATCAAGAGACTTACTTTTGTGCAATTGTCACACAAGACGTCCTTGACTGACTCGGTGGAGATGAAGTGGTGGAGGCACTGGTCCAGGGTCAGTGGGTGGCCCTGTGGAGGAGGGGTGGGGGAGTAAAACAGGAAGTGTTGGCACACGTCCTTAAACCCCGTGAGTTAGAAAAGGGCTGTGCTTGGGCAGCTGCAAGATATTCCCACAGGAGGGTGCCTTACCCACACGGTGGCAGGGATGCTCAGGGAAAGGCTGTCAAAAGTGTCGTATCTGAGGGGACTCTGAAAGAAAAAGAGCCCAAATGTCTCAACGAGGATTTATAACGTAAATACAGATGATGCTCTTTGCCTGCCTGGCCAGAGAATAAAGAGATGGGGGGAGGTCTAGGAAACCCTTTTGAAAAGAACCCTGCCGTACCAAAGAGCAGAGTCACATACACAACTCCACCAAGCTTACCTTCTACCCCTTCCCACCACTGGAATGAGCCCCACCAACCCCACCCGAAGTTTAAAGAGTCTCCCCTCTCCTGCACTAAAGCACTACCAAGGACAACAACTCTTCAAAGCAGGCTGCCCACCCTGGAAGCAATAACACCCCCAAGGAATAGTCTCAGTTGTGGGGAGCAGAGGGTCACCCCCTTGGCAGCTCCTCTTCAGCCCATCTACATGGGAAGTGACTCGGTCCTCCCTGGGTCTTAGCTCCACCCGCCCATTGATTTCCTGCAATCTGTATGCCTCTTTCTCTCACACAGACTTACGGACCTGGTGTTTGCAATGCTTGCAGACCATGTTGCTCGTTAACCTGCCATGAAAAGGATGCTGCAGCTTCCAGTGACTCAACACAGGAGGAGGAGGAGGCCCTACAAACCAAAATAAAGGTTGTTCCGTCTGACTCTTCTATTGTTTTGCCAGGCACTGTGACTGGTGCCCTCCTGATAATCTTGTATCTGGAAACACCAGGATAGGGTTAGGCTAGTTTAAAGACTTTAGGTGCCAGGCAAAAATGTTCCTCTTCAACAAGGCCTTTGGCCAATAGACATGCGATGCCCTTTTAAATGTGTTTGGGGTGTGTGTATTGGTTTGTTGTTCTTATTTTTACTAAGTATTTTGTGGTTTTTATATTGCAATTTTATGTTGTGAAGCACACTGAGATCTGCGAATGAAGGGTGCTACACAAATTTAATAATGTCATTAGACAAGGTTAAAGAGTGATTCCAATAGCCAGACACCCTTTCAGCTCCTGTCACAGTCGCCCCATGCAGACAACAAAATCAGGCCATAGCCCAGAGGTGTTTGGGTTTTTATATCAGTAGTACAAATAGTATCTGCTACATTTCACCAAATCAGAAAAGTGTTTTTACCTCTTGTCCTGGAGCATATTTGCTTTTGTAGAATTTCTGGCTTCTATACAGACAAATACAAAATAAAGTTAGTTTTTAAAAAGAAAACACTTTCCACACGGTGATATCTTTACTATTGCACACTTAAGTGACAAGGGTGGTATCCAACTCAGTTATACTCAAGAGTAGATCCATTGACACTGATGTTAATTAACTTCAGTGAGTCCATTCGGAATTATACTTGGCTGAATACCACTCCAGCAGTACAGGGAAGCACAACTTTGAAAAAACAGCTTAAAAGCAGAATCTTATGTAGGTCTCTTCAGCTGGGCAGCCCACCAAATTATAAGAACATAATAGGAGCCTGCTGGATCAGGCCAATGGAGGCTCACCTAGTCCAACACCTTGTTCTCACAGCGGCCAACCAGATGCCTCTTTTGGAAAACCCAAAGGAGCACAAGAGCCCTCTCCCCTTCTGTGGTTTCCAGCAACTGGTATTCAGAAGCCTTGCTGCCTCCAACTAATTTTATAAACTTCCATGTCACCTCTTACTCACCTTTTCTCTAGATGAAAAGTCCCAAATGCTGCAGCCTTGCCTATAGGAAAGGTTGCTTTGCAGCCCCTGTGTCTCTTGAGCGCTCACCTCCAGAGAATGCACATCAAACAGATGCACGACCCGCAGCTGGCGGTCCCATTCATCTTCCAGCGAGGAGGTGAGGACATGGAACAGCTCGTGAGCATCCTACCGAAGAGCACCAGAAAGCTCAGAATGCCAGGCCAAGCTCACCAGAAAAGTAGACAACAGGGGATAATGTATGTTGCCCTTGAGGTACATTTTTGCAGCTCCCAAGAAAAAAATTGAATCCTGAAAATTCAGCTTGCATTTTTAGATGGACCTTCAGCAAGGCAACATGGAAGATCAAGAGGCCAGGGTTCCTTCACAGCAGGTTAGGGGGAAATCTCTTGAATTTTCAAACATATTTCATGTCTACTGAGCAGATTGGTGTGCAGAAGTTCCCAGATTCACACCTTACCATCCCCCATCAAAGGGATCTGAGGTGGCAGATCTGGGAAAGGCCTCCCTCTGACCTCAGAGAACCACTGATTGTCCAAGACAACAATGCAAAGCTGGGCGGTCTAATAGTCTGACTCACTATAAGGCAGCTTCCCACATATCTGCATGCAGGAGAAGAATTTTAAAAAAGGTAACACTAGAGTTGTGCCTCAGACAGAGATGCAGCGGGCAGGCAGTCTCCTTTGTGCACTGCATGGGGATGGTTAGCTTTCACGCAGCCTTCAGCAAGTTTCAAAAGTACTCAAGGAGTGTGTGGAGGAGGGCAGAAGTGGGGTGAGGTGTGGGGAGAGTCCTGAAGGCCAGACATGGGGGTCTTAAGGTCTGCATTCAGACCACAGACCACAGGTTCCCCACCCTTGCAGTGAGTATTCAGGCCTTTTCTCACCCACTTAAAAAGGCAGCACAAAGCAGTTAAAATAAACTGGGAATGCCGTAAATCAAGGGTGAAGAACCAGTGGCCCTCCAGGGGCTGCTGATTCCAGCTCCCAGCAGTCCCAGCCAGGACAGCCAGCCATCATGGGTGATGCGAGTCATAATCCACTAAAATCTGGAGGGCAGCAGGCTCCCCACATCTGCTGTAAACAAAGCCACAATTCTTTAACAAGAGCCCTGCTGGATCAGACCAAAGGCCCATCTTGTCCAGCAACCTCCTTACGACAGTGACCAACCAAATGCCTCTGGGAAGTATCTGGAAAGGCTGCAAGTAAGAGATGAGAGAGCAATAGTCTTCTCCCGCTCGTGTCCCCCAGCGACTGGCTTTTGCTTGTTATGTGCCAGATGTCAAGGCTGTAGAAAACAACAGCAACAGAGAAGCATACTCTGGTGCCTTACACCACTTGGGTAGCTACCTGCTCTTCGAAAGAGGAGATCTGCCACCTGTACATCCTCAGGACCTCCAACAAGCAGCTTGCATCCAGGAAGTCATCTTCGGTCACCTCTTGGCAGGATAAAGCTGAATGCATCAAACACAAAATAGCCAATGCAGACCACGCACAGAAATGAATTCACTCATCCTAAACATACGTTCCTCTTATTCTACAGAAAGTTCTCTCCACTTGTGTAAACGGAATTAAGTAAAACCATCTTGCCCAGCATTCTTCTTTCCACAGTGGCCTTTGGGAGGCCTCCAAGTGGGACACCAGCACAACAGCCCTCTCATGCTCCCCAGCAGCCACTACTTGAAGCACACAGCCCCCACCCAAGACTGGAGGCAGAGCAGTCTTCCTGACTAACAGCCTTATCCTCCATGAATTGCCAAATCCTCCTTTAAAGCTGTGCAATTTGGTGGCCATCACTACAACCAGTGGGAGCAAATTCCAGAAGTTTAACTGTGTGGAGAATCACCTCCTTTTGTCTGTCCTGAATCTTCCAGCATTGAGCTTTATGGGATAACGCCACTGGGTTCTAATATGATGAGATATGTTTTGGGCTCCATAGCACCTTTATAGGAAAGAACAGAGCAGTTCAGATAGATGCTGGCAATGTAATACTTATAATGCCTCTTGTTGGGATGCCCTGTGGTGTCTTCTGTTTGGACAGAAATTGTTGTTCATATTGACTGTTTTGGAAAAATTCTTGATACTTGTGAATGACCATACACAATTATATTCCTATGATGTGAGGACTATCAGATAGGCAACAAAAGTTAATCCTGTGAGCCCTTACAGTTGCAGAGACGTATGCTGGAAGGATAAACACTCACCATGCATTACTCAGTGGTCTGAAGATCTCATTGCCCTTTCTATGATTGAATGTGTATCTTATCTGGTCATTTGGATATCTTGTTGGGACATGTGGTCTACCTATGTTAATATATGTTTTGAAGAGGATTGATTGATTATTCTTATTGTTAATGAGACAGTTCAGGAAAGCGATTGCCAGTATTCTTGGTACAGTGGAACCTCGGGTTAAGTACTTAATTCATTCCGCAGGTCCGTACTTAACCTGAAACTGTTCTTAACCTGAAACACCACTTTAGCTAATGGGGCCTCCTGCTGCCGCCACGCGATTTCTGTTCTCATCCTGAAGCAAAGTTCTTAACCTGAAGCACTATTTCTGGGTTAGCGGAGTTTGTAACCTGAAGCGTATGTAACCCGAGGTATCTCATATAATATTTGTACATCATTTTACAATCTTAGCTTGGAGGTGCTTTTTCCCATAAGGTATGTGATGCTAAGTATTTGTAGGTCCCCTGTACTGTTTACCTTTAGTCTATTGTTCTTTTTTAAACACTGTTTTCTTGTTTTGAGGTTTGCAACTGTTTTCTCTACTTATGTAACAAATTAAATTAAGACATATAGTGGAACCTCGGTTGTCAAACGTAATCTGTTCTGGGAGACCGTTCAACTTCCACAACATTCGACAACTGAGGCACAATGGGAGGTCAGCAAAATCCTTTAAAAAATGGAGAAATGCACACCGGAAGCCATTTGACTTCCAAGGTGCGTTCAAAAACAGCAGCATTCACTTCCGGGTTGTCGGCATTCAAAAGTCAAAATGTTCGACTTCCGAAGTGTTTGACAACTGAGGTTCCACTGTGCTTGATAAAAGGAAAAGAAGTGGCTTGCTTTATGCTTTGTGTTATGCACCCAAAATAACACAAAGGGACCTTTACCTTTCAGGAGGTGAAGCAAGGTCAGGGACAAATACTTCCCAGACGTCTCACTCTGGCTGACCTGGTACTGAACTGTGAATCCTTCCAGCCACTTGATGAAGGACGGACAAGCAGACAGCCCCTGGAGAAGTGAGTTCATGAAGCATGTGTTTCCCAGGTTGAGAAGACCTGGCACTAGCCCTGGGGGGAAAATACATCACTGCAATTGCTGCAACCTTCTGAACACAGCCTTCCTGCTTTTACTCTCCAGTACCTCTGCTCTGCCCTGCCCTAAATGCTGCTCCTTGTCCTGTCATTTGCAGAATGCCTTGTCTGACACCATCATCACACAGCTCTAGGCAGGAGACAGAAACACTCCTTTTCCACCAGCCCCTGGGCTCTTAATTATATGTGGTCTCCTGGAGTAGGTGGAATGTTTTAATCCTGCCTTTTAAAAATAGGATTGTCTTTTAGATTTTTCTTTGTTTTTCTTTTATGCTGGTTTTAATGTAAATGTTTCCTTTATTACATTGCAAGTAGTGTTGAGTTATCTTGGTAAACAAGCTCCCAATGAATTTAATAAACAAACAATTTTTCTGCATGTTGTTCTGACCTTATTCCTCCATTTGCACTCCCCGCCCTCCCGCTCCCAATTAAACTTCTTGGACTTGCTTCCAAACATCTCTGTGGTCTTGCTCTTCCTTATTAATCTTCCCTTCTTTCTCTCTACCAGCAAAGGGAACCCGCAGCCCTCCAGATGTTGCTGGACTCCAACTCCCATCATCCCTGAGTGCTGGCCATGCTTGCTGGAGTTGATTGGAGTTGTGAGTACAAAAACCTTTGGAGGGTTTCAACTTCCCCATCCCTGCAGTTTACACTCCCATCATTCTGCACGTATCAGCTGCATCCTCCTATAGTTCAGGGATGGGGAACATCTGCAGCCCTCTAGGTGCTGTTGGTCTCCAACTGCAATCAGCATGGTCAGTGTCCAGGATGATGGGAGTTGGCAACGACACCAGTTTTCCCCATCGCCGTTTTAGTTGGAAACCCTTCCACCTGACATCAGTCTTTCTTTCTGCTTTTGATTCTAGAGTGTCAAAAAGCATTTGTTCACTCTGTTTAGTCCCAATTGCTGTCTTCTTCCATTTTGCTTTCCTTCCTCAGGTTTTTAATTTTAAGACAATCATCCTGCGGACAGGGCCTCAGTTATGTTTTAGTTTTCTGTATGGCCACCACTAGCCATTTTAGGCACAACAACACACCTTCAAAAAAGACAAAAGGGCTCTCCTGTTGGGATTCAGTGGCCAAGGAAGACCCCAATATTTATATGAGACTCTTTTTGTTGGGATCAGGAGATGCAAGGTGCAAACTCACCTGCCCCACTCACTCCTCCCTAGTCTCTCTTTCATTTACCTTTCCTGCGTTTTTTTCTCTCTGTGATGGGGCCCCATAAGACATAGATGCTCGCAGCAAGAGCAGCTGCAATCCCACCAATCACTCCCCAATTCTTCATTACTTTATACCTAAGAAGAAAAGAGAGGGGGGTGAACCCAATATACATCTGTAAACAAACAGCCCAAAATATTACACTGGAACTCCAGAATACAGCCAGTACCTTGGTCGTCAAATGGAATCCATTCTGGAAGTCCGTTCGACTTCCAAAAATGTTCGAAGACCAAGGCACAGCTTCCAATTGGCTGCAGGAGCTTCTTGCACTCAGTCGGAAGCCGCGGAAGCTACATCAGATGTCTGGCTTCCAAAGAACGTTCACAAACCAGAACACTCACTTCTGGGTTTGCGGTGTTCGGGAGCCAAAACGGACGCGTACCAAGGCATTCAACAACCAAGGTACGACTGCAGAGCTATAATTGGGGGCGGGGAGGATACACATCATTTGAGATTTTGGCAAGGACACTTTTTATATGATTTGACATTCCTTTATTGCATATGAAAGGGAACCATCATTTTCAATACAACCCTCATGACAATCCTGGCATATCTGGAACTATACTTGATAATCAGATAATGCTGATATTCTTGACTCGGCCATCATGAAGATCCCCGGGTCACCTAGGAGGCCAGTCACGGCCTTCTCTCAGGGGATTAAATGAGGAGGGGGAGACGGGGCCGGGGAAAGGTGGGAGATAAACGCAGAAAGCGGCGGCGACGAAGCGGGATGCTGCCCCTGAGCCCCGCGGGGCCTCCTGGATCCAGACCAGCATCGTGCTTCCAATGCCCCCTCCCCAGAAGCCTGCAGGCTCCATTCCGCCCCCGCCGACTGACCTGGCCGCCCCTCCGGCCCGGAAGAGCCGCCTGGCCGCCTTCCTGCCGAGCTCCTCCACCCCGCGGCGGCTCAGCAGCATCCCGCCCTCAAGCGCCCCGGGCGGAACGAAAGGCGTCGGGCTCGCGGGGAAGGGAGACGGCGGCGGGACGGAAGCGGGGCAGCCGGACCTCCCCAGCAACGGGCCCGCCCCGCCGCCGCTCTCCGCGCGCCCTGGTTGCTAAGGCGTGCGCCGCTCTGAGGCTCCCGCCCGCCGCCCGGCCCCGCGCAGAGGGTTCCGGGGCACCAAGACAAGCGAAAGGCTGGCGCCAGGATCAGTGCCGGCTCTACCAAGAAGCCAAACAAGCTGTAGCTTAGGGTACACTGTAGCTTGGATGTACACTTCCAAAATATAAGATAAAAAACAAATAAAACCTACATAATAATTATTTCACTATTAATATACTTCTTCTTAATTGTATTTCAGTTCAACAATTACTTTGATAAAATACATATTTTTTACGTGCAAATGGCTTTAGATACCTATTACGTCCATAAATTACCATATAGCATATTTTCAACACAAAAAACAGCAACAATTTGTTCTTGACAAAGGACAGCTGGACATATAAAGGGCCCCATTACCATCCGTAGCTGAGGGCCTCATCAAACCTCAATCCGGCCCTGTCCTTCACCCTTGATTTTAATTGTTCTCCATATATTCCCGAGGGGAAATGAGGAAAGTAAAAAGTGTTCCTGATTTGCCTGTGTTAGTTTAAATGCACCCAAGGAGAAAGAGAGAGAAAAAGGCAAAGCACTTTAAACAAAACAGAAAAAACAGAAAATACATTTTACTTGGGAGTAAGGTCCTAGTGAATTCAAAAGGGGCTTGCTTTTGAGTAAAATCGGGCAGTAAATAGGCAATGCTCCTTATGAATAACAAGCCACATGCATATTTGTTAAGTGTTGTAGACTTTATTTTTAAAAAAAAGATATTTATTAAGGTTTCAACATTTTACAAAAATAAGAAAAAAAACCAAAAAAGAAAATACAAAGTAAAAACAGTTAAAAACAAATCATTTTTTCCAAATCTTATCTTTCATTTGCTTGTTTCCCTGACCTCCTCACACCTCCCTTTTTTGTATTCCAGTTCAATTAATTAGTTCAGCAAATCCTTTCCCTCTTTGATTTTATCTTAATCTTTTATCTTAATATATTATAGCTTTATATTATCACCTGTTAACAAACCATTTTATATATTCCTTTATAACATTGCTACTAAGAACCGCTTAACTTCAATCCAACATCATTCTAACATTCATTAATTTTGCAGTGTTTCTGTAAATAGTCTTTAAATTTCTTCCAATCTTCTTCCACCGACTCTTCTCCCTGGTCTTGGATTCTGCCAGTCATTTCCGCCAGTTCCATATAGTCCATCACCTTCATCTGCCATTCTTCCAGGGTGGGTAGATCTTGTGTCTTCCAATACTTTGCAATAAGTATTCTTGCTGCTGTCGTGGCATACATAAAGAAAGTTCTGTCCTTCTTTGGCACCAATTGGCCGACCATGCCCAGGAGAAGGGCCTCTGGTTTCTTCAGGAAGGTATATTTAAATACCTTTTTTATTTCATTATAGATCATCTCCCAGAAAGCCTTAATCCTTGGGCACGTCCACCAAAGGTGAAAGAATGTACCTTCAGTTTCTTTACATTTCCAACATTTATTATCGGGCAAATGATAGATTTTTGCAAGCTTGACTGGAGTCATGTACCACCTGTATATCATTTTCATAATATTCTCTCTTAAGGCATTACATGCCGTAAATTTCATACCAGTGGTCCATAACTGTTCCCAGTCAGCCATCATAATATTATGTCCAACATCTTGTGCCCATTTGATCATAGCAGATTTCACCGTTTCATCCTGGGTATTCCATTTCAACAGCAAGTTATACATCTTTGACAAAATCTTGGTTTTGGGATCTAACAGTTCTGTTTCCAATTTTGATTTTTCCACCTGGAAACCAATTTTCTTGTCCAAATTATATGCCTCCTGTGATGGGATAATGAGCTGCTTGTGCGTAAAATGCAAGTCCCTCAGAGTTTGCTCAAGTTCTCAAACCTCTGCCTGCGACGGAGCCCCTCCGGCATGGCTGCGTCAGTCGCTAGCAGAATCCGAAAGTGGTCGCTTTCGGAATCTCTTCCAACATAAAAGCTCCTTAACGGAAACACGTCTTCTGGACTCTTGGCGTGACAGTTTCCGGCGAGGAGTGGGTGTCCCTATAGGAGGTCTTGAGACCTCCCCACTGTTTTCGCTGGAAGTGTCTCTGAGCCATCCCTCCGACTCACTTTCCCTTGGAGTCCCTTCTCTCCCCCTACTGGTTCCCTCTTCAGCTGCTACGTCTCTCTCAACCTCAGTGAGCCTTTCCACCTCCTGTCCTTCCGATGGCAGTTCCCTGACACCTCCATTATCTGATAATAATGAAGCCAATCTCGCACTTCATTTTTTAGTTTTTCAAAACTCTGCAATTTCAATTTGTCTCCCTCTTGTTCCAAAATTTCCCAATATTTCGGCCATTTGGCCTCCATATTGAGCTTTTTCTGTGCCTTCGCTTCCATCGGTGACAACCACCTTGGGGTTTTATTTTCAAGTAGATCCTTGTATCTTATCCAGACATTAAACAATACTTTCCTGACTATATGGTTTTTAAATGCTTTATGTGCTTTGACCTTATCATACCACAGATATGCATGCCATCCAAATACATTGTTAAAACCTTCTAGATCCAAATGTCTGTGTTTTCAAGAAGCAGCCATTCTTTCAGCCAGCAAAAAGCTGCTGATTCATAATAAAGTTTTAAGTCTGGCAGTGTTGTAGACTTTAAATGGCCTGTCATCTTATTGGGCAAAGGCATAGTAAAATTCAATTTAAAACAAGAAGAATGCAACAAAGAGGGAACCATTGGGATGGCACAAGCGAGAAAGCTGTGGCCTGAAGTAAACTCAAGAATGTGCTGCACCATCTGCTTGAGTCAATTTTTTAAAATTGTAAACCACATTGGCAGGAGGAAGGCAATAAATAAAATCAAGCAACAAATACAATTAACTATATTAAACAGTAGAGTAGAGCTGATACTTAACATCAGAGCTGACAATAACCCTTAATTAAGAGCAGCTGCTGATTCCTAGACAATAGGGGGCTGGGGGCTTCCTACATAAACCGCTTCATGTGCCTTGGTAGAAAGGTGGTTGTTGTTGTTTACTCGTTTCTGACTCTTCGTGACCCCCTGGACCAGAGCACGCTAGGCACTCCTGTCTTCCACTGCCTCCCGCAATTTGGTCAAACTCATGCTGGTTGCTTCAAGAACACTGTCCCACCATCTCGTCCTCTGTCGTCCCCTTCTCCTTGTGCCCTCCATCTTTCCCAACATCAGGGTCTTTTCCAGGGAGTCTTCTCTTCTCATGAGGTGGCCAAAGTATTGGAGCCTCAGCTTCAGGATCTGTCCTTCCAGTGAGCACTCAGGGCCGATTTCCTTCAGAATGGAGAGGTTTCATCTTCTTGCAGTCCATGGGACTCTCAAGAGTCTCCTCCAGCACCTTTATTCAAAAGCATCCTTTCTTCGGCGATCAGCTTTCTTTATGGTCCAGCTCTCACTTCCGTACATCACTACTGGGAAAACCATGGCTTTAACTATACGGACCTTTGTTGGCAAGGTGATGTCTCTGCTTTTTAAGATGCTGTCTAGGTTTGCCATCGCCGCCTTTCTCCCAAGAAGCAGGCGTCTTTTAATTTCGTGACTGCTGTCACCATCTGCAGTGATCATAGAGCCCAAGAAAGTAAAATCTCTTACTGCCTCAATTTCTTCTCCTTCTATTTGCCAGGAGGTGATGGGACCAGTGGCCATGAGCTTCGTTTTTTTGATGTTGAGCTTCAGACCATATTTTGCGCTCTCCTCTTTCCTCATTAAAGGTTGTTTAATTCCTCCTCACTTTCTGCCATCAAGGTTGTGTCAAGTGGTTGATAAATCTTCCGGCAATCTTAATTCCCGTTTGGGATTCATCCAGTCCAGCCTTTCGCATGATGAATTCTGCATATAAGTTAAATAAGCAGGGAGACAATATACAGCCTTATCGTACTCCTTTCCCAATTTTGAACCAATCAGTAGTTCCATATACAGTTCTAACTGTAGCTTCTTGTCGCACATAGAGATTTCTCAGGAGACAGAGGAGGTGATCAGGCACTCCCATTTCTTTAAGAACTTGCCATAGTTTGCTGTGGTCGACACAGTCAAAGGCTTTTGCATAGTCAATGAAGCAGAAGTAGATGTCTTTCTGGAACTCTCTAGCTTTCTCCATAATCCAGCGCATGTTTGCAATTTGGTCTCTGGTTCCTCTGCCTCTTCTAAATCCAGCTTGCACTTCTGGGAGTTCTCGGTCCACATACTGCTTGAGCCTGCCTTGTAGAATTTTAAGCATAACCTTGCTAGCGTGAGAAATGAGCGCAGTTGTGCGGTAGTTGGAGCATTCTTTGGCACTGCCCTTCTTTGGGATTGGACCACATCAGCAAGGGGGGGGTCTGGTCATCTGGGCAGCCCAAGACCTCCATCCACACTGCTCAGGCTTGCGCCCCAGGGAGGCCACTTGAGTGCTGCTGACGCAGTGGTTTGACTTCACCCCTGGAGTGAAGTCCAAGACAGACAGGTGCCAACAACTATGTAACAGCCATAACAGACTCACTAACACAGACCTTTCTTGTGCACCTCCAATTCCTCCTGCTCATGCACACACACCACATGCTCAAACTATTTCCTTTTTTGTCAGCATTCGAAAACTGTCTTTGTTTGCTCTAACGTATCAGGAATGTAGAAGCAGCTGTGAAGTGTGGAGGGGGAGAAGACAAATGATAATTGTGTGCTTCACAACTGCAGCAATGTGCATGCCTTTCTAAAGGGGCCCAGGATGTAAGATTACCTGGCTGCACTCCCACTGCCTCGGTGGATTCTCTCCCACACCCTGCCCCCCCTCATAAGCTCTCAAACACCTGTTCAGCAGACACTCTTCCACAAAGCTAGTGAAGTTCAGCCACAACACCACAAATACCAGAAAGCGGTTTTGAAAGAGCCATCAAGGTCAATCCAGTAATTAGTTCTCAGAGGGCTGGAGAAAATGCATGTCATTCAAGGCCTTTAGTCACTAGCAGCTCTTGCC